TCTGATGCTGCCTGGCCTGCTGTGTTCCTCCAGCTCCACACTTTGTTGACTCTGACTCCAGCATCTGCAGTTCTTACTATCTCTTTTACCAGGATGTTGTCTGGTACGGGGGATTTTAGCTATGAAGAAAGGTTGGATAGACTGTGTTTGTTTTCACTGGAACGCAGGAGGTTCAGGGGCGACTTGATAGAAGTTTATAAGACTGTGAATGGCATTTTCCCAGGGTGGAGGGATCATTACTAGGGGACACAAATTCCAGGTATGAGGGAGTAAGTTTATAAGACATGTGGGAGGCAAGTTGTTCACACAAAGGGTGTTGAGTGCCTGGAACGTGTTGCCAGAGGAGGTGGTGGAAGCAGACACAGTAGCAGCATTCAGGAAGCACCTGGATGAATAGGAAGGGAATAGAGGGATATGGATCCTGTAAGTGAAGACAGTTTTAGTATGGAAGGGCAAAATGTGTCAGCGCAGTCTTGGAGGGCCGAAGGGGCTGTTCCTGTGCTGTATTGTTCTTTGTTCTTTGATATCTAGGGAAATGTCGGTAGATCTAAACTGAGGATTGGAGGGAGTTGCTATCAGACACTTGGCAAGTTGTCTATTGACCTTGCAACATTTGCGTGAAGACTGCTTGATGACCCAAAAGCTTTGAGTGGCAATATGTTGACATGACATGCAAATTGTTTATGTTGATTTTGTACCAGTCTGGTTAGCAGATTACTGAAACAACAGTCAGATTTATCACTCTGCCAGGGCTAGATGCATTATACAGTGAAACATAACCTACTGATGTTTGTCTAAGCGCACCATATGATATGTAAATACAGCCATTGCTAATTGTCTGGTTCACTTCATGATGTCAGTTAACAGGCTCTGGGAGATAGTGAGAATATGAAAGGGCATCATTGTGCAATCTGTTCATGGCCTATTGTAAATCTTTGTGGTTTTCTTGTATATTTCCAAGAATATCTATGACAATCTTACTGACCAGAGATGCAGGAGCAAATTTCAGCAACAAATTGATTTCACCATCCCCTGAGGATTCACTGACTTCTCACAGCATTCAACTGAACTGGTCATTGCTTTAGGAATTAATTTAGCAAAGTTGGATGAACATAGAACAGTACAGCACAGGAAAAGGCTCTTCAGCCCAACATGTCTGTGCTGACCATGATGCCATTCTAAACTAATCCCATCTGCCTGTACATGCTCCGTATCCCTATATTCCCTGCCTGTTCATGTGTCTGTCTAAATGCCTCTTAAATGTTGCTAATGTATCTGCTTCTACCACCGCCCCTGGCAGATGTTCCAGGCACCTAACATCCTCTGTGTAAAAAAATGTTGCCCCACACATTCTCCTTTAAACTTTCCCCCTCTCACTTTATACCTATGCCTCTTTGTGTTTGACATTTGCGCCCTGGGAAAAGGCTCTGACTGTCCAACGTATCCATGCCGCTCATTATTTTATATACTTCAACAGCTCACCCCTCAGCCTGTAATGCTCTAGTGAAAACAATCCAAGTTTGTCCAACCCCTCATAATAGCTAATACGTTCCAATCCAGGCAACATCCTGATAAACCTCTTGTGAACCTTCTCCAAAGCCTCCACATCTTTCCCAAAGTGTGGCAATTAGAACTACACATTACATTCCAAGTGTGGCCTAACTAAAGTTTTATGCAGCTGCAACATGACTTCCCAACTTTTATACTCAATGTCTTGACCAATGAAGGCAAGCATGCTGTATGCCTTCTTTACCATTTTATCCACTTGTGTTGCCATTGTCAGGGAGCTCTGGATTTGCACCACCAGATCCCTCTGTATATCAATGCTCCAGGGTTCTGCCATTTACTGTGTACTTTCCTCTTGCATCTGGCTTCCAAAACACGTCATCTCACATTTGTCTGGATTAAACTCCATCTGCCATTTCTTTGCCCAACTTTCCAACTGATCTGCTGTTTCCTTTGACAACCTTCCTCACTACCCACAACTCCATCAATTTTTGTATCATGTGCAAACTTACTAATCAATGAAGGTAACTCATCTGTAAAGATATGAAAGACATTATCCCTTTAACCGCACCAAAGGCTGCTTCTATAATAATAAGGTGTTGGAAGACTGCAGTCTCCACAAAATCAAACTATTCATGCCTATCAAAGGCAGCTCAGAGGTACAGCCGCAAGGTATTTCTTGTACGGGTATTGACTTGTGGTGCAGTGGCAGAGTTGCTACCTCTCAGCCAGGAGGCCTGTGTTCAAGTCCCACCTGCTGCAGAGGTTTGTAATAATATCTCTGAACAGGTTGTTTAGAAAATATCTATAACTATTAACTGCTGTCGGTTTATTAAAAGTAGGCAATGATGCTTCAAACTGTTCGTACTGTGCAGGGAATGCTCACCACGTTCTTGAACGTAGCAAATAGAAGTGAAAGAACTGTAACTGAAGCATTAATTACATTGGAATCATGGCTACAACTAATGTTAGGATTTGGAGGCCATTTCTTAGCAGAAAAAAACACATTAAAACACCCTCTAAGTTGAAACACCATAATTTTAATGGCAAAGTTGTGATATTGGTGAATTAAGTATCTGTTAAAATAAAATAAATATCAAAAAGAAAGCATTACATTCCACATTACATACAGAAACTCTTGGAGTGCACCCTCTGTGAGTGCAGCTTGGGCACTGCAGCCCAGGGTCTGTGTCTGGGCCATTGTGGGGGTCCTCTTGCTGCTGGGGCCACACCCCTCTTCGGTGGAGGTGGGGGAGGAGGTGGGGCATGCAGCTTGGGGCTGCAGTTCCAAGGAGCTGCTTCTCGCTCCTCCTTAGCTTCAAGGCCTCAGGCTCCTTCCCCCTCTCCCTGTTTGAGGGGGTGATTTTACCCCCTCCACATCCCTCCCTCTCCTTTCCCCTCTCCCTGTTTGA